TATTTGGTCGTGCCTCGTTTGAAAGACTTGGTGTTGACTTGACTGGACTAATACTTTCGTTTCTGGATTTCGAAGAAAGTGCACGTCGTCAGTGTATTTGCAGTAAGTGGTATTTTCTTATTAAACTTAAACTTGATAAATTAAGTATTGGTTTTAGACAGTGTCATTATAAATGCTATTGTAATATCCCTAATTATTTTTCTGGTATACGATATAAAACACTAAATATAACATCTTTGGATATATTAATACAGTATCATTTTCATTTATTTATTTTTAAAAATTTTATAAGTCGTTTTAATTTTGAAACAGTTAATATTAAAATATATAATATAAGATTTTATATATCGTTACAAGAATTATTAAAATATATTTTAAAGTGTAAAAGTTTAAAATATTTAAAAGTAGAAATTATCGCTTGTTGTTCTACTAATAGATATTGCGAAGAGCAAAAAATATTTAATAAATATATAGATTTATTTGCTAAAAAATATAATACTTTTGAATATATGTTACATTGTTCTGAGTTACAACATAGGCATAAATATTTTTATAATAGTAAAGATAAAGTTATTAAAACTATTAATATTAATTAATAATGGCTGATAATATTGAATTAGTCGTAATTAATGGTCACTCGACTAGATCGTATGATAAATTTAAGAGAACTGAATTTAAAACTAAGTTTATTTTGAAACATAATATAAAAGCTATTCCTAACTTAATAGATATTAAAGATAATATAATTAAACAATTTACCAAATTATTTGAACATTTACTTAAATCAGCTGATGATGAAGATTATATTTCTATTTCTTTAATTCACACTGATATGGAATCTCCTATATTTATAGCACCTAGAAAAGTGTGTGACTTTAAAATTGAAACTATATTTGATAGAATCGAAAAAGTTGTACAAAGTTTTAAAGTGTTTTTTAGTTCAGGTCAGTTTGAATTAATTATATCACTGACAAAATCTATTGTTGGGTCAGGTAGAGTTAAAATACCTAAAGCACCTAGAACTATAGATCAAATAAATAAAAGTAAATTTTCTATAGTTACAATAAATAATAACGATAATTCCTGTGCTTTAAGAGCACTTTGTGTTTCTATATATCACTATGATAATAAAAATAATTTAAATAAAAAAGAATGGCAATATTTAATAAGATCTGATAGGCCGAAACAATTAGAGTGTGCTATGAAGTTAGCCAATATGATTGGAATTGATATAAATAAATGTGTAGGAATAGATGAATGGAAAATTATTCAATCAAAATTAGATAAGTATCAAATTTATGTTATCGACTCTATTAATAAATATAATATAATATTTAAGGGACCAGAAAATATTAATAAGTTGTATATACAGTACACACAAGATCACTATAATTCTATAATTAACATAAAAGGATATTATGGTAAGGATTATTTTTGTGATTTATGTCACTATGCCTATTGTGCGTTTTGGTTACATAAATGTCCGTTTAAATGTAGCAATTGTTATGCAATGTGTAATAGTTTAATAGATGAACAAATACTATGTAATAATTGCTTTAGAAAATTTAAAAGTTCTGAATGTTTTGAGAATCATATTATTAATAGGCTATGTAAAAATCTTAAAAGATGTAATACGTGTGATTTAAATTATAAAAAAAGATCTGGGCATTTATGTGGTGAATATATGTGTAAAAAATGCGGAGATGTTTATAAAGAACAGCCTCATTATTGTTATATTAAACCTAAAGAATTAGGTGATTTATTTGACGAAGATAAGGTCAATAAATTTATTGTTTCTTACGATATAGAATGTAGCCAGGAAAATTTTGAACATTTACCGAATTTATTAATATGTAAAGTTAAATGTGACAAATGTATAGATAATACTGAATGTTCTATTTGTCTCTCAAAAACTAATACATATTTTGGATCAAATTGTATAAAATTATTTGTAGATTACTTATTTCAAGATTTGGCTATATTGGCTGAAAAAAATAAATCAATGATTTATGCATTTGCACATAATGCTAGATCATATGATGCACAATTTGTCCTTAGGGAATTGTGGAATAGATATTATAACAAAGTAGATGTTATCTTAAGAGGCCGTAAAATTTTGCTTATAAGATGTGGTAACGTTAAAATGTTAGATTCCTTAAATTTTTTTCTTACAAAGTTTGGAGAAATTACCAAGGGCATTAGGTTTAGATATTAGTATTAAGAAAGGTGATTTCCCTCACTTATTTAATAAACCGATAAATTATAATTATATAGGGAAGATTCCTGATTTAGAATATTTTGGTTTAGAGTATATGTCTATTAATAAAAAGAATAAAATAGAAGAGTGGCATAAGACAATGCTAGATAATAATTGGTGTTTTAAAGATGAATTGATTAATTATTGTTTAAACGATGTTGAAATTTTATTGGATTGTATTATTAAATTTAGAGATGCGTTTAAAGAGATAACTGGATTAGATCCTATAACTAGATCATTTACTTTGGCTTCTATTGCTATGGAAACTTTTACAGCGTTATTTTTAAATAATAATGAATTGGCTAATACACCTGTCACTGGTTACAAGAAGTCTAAAATTTTTTCTATTTCCAGTAATTGTTGGTTGGATTGGGTTGAAAAAACTAATAATATAAATTTAATTAGAGAATATCGATTAGGTAAATATTGGGTAGATGGTTTTAATATTTTCTCAAATACTGTATATGAATTTTTAGGTTGTTATTGGCATGGATGTCTATGTCAAAACTCTATTGATAGAAATGAAAAATGTTTAGTTAGTAGAGGTAATGAATTTAGTCTAAATGAGCGTAATACTCAAATTGTTGAAAAATTGAATGATTTAAAGAAAAATAATAATGTTATTAGCTTGTGGGAATGTCAATTAAAAAAATGCTTATCTGAAAATATAATATTTAAAGAGTTTTATAACAATAGATTTAAATACTACAAAATTTTGAAAAATGTAGGACCTGTAAAAATCAGGGATGCCTTTTTTGGCGGTAGGACTAACAATATACAGTTTCATAAAACTGTTAATGTTAATGAAGAGATTAAATATTTAGATTTTTGTAGTTTATATCCTTATGTGTTAAAATATTTTCCGTATCCGGTTGAGCATCCTAACGTAATTAATAAAAATTTTGATTATACTCTACAAAGTTATTTTGGAATAATAAAGTGTAAAGTAATTGCCCCTAGAAAACTTTATTTACCTGTACTTCCTGTTGTTGTTAACAAAAAATTAATGTTTCCTTTGTGTGTAAATTGTGCAAAAAATTATTGTCAAGAATGTAATTGTGAAGACAGGTCATTTATTGGTACATGGGTTAGTGAAGAATTAAAATTAGCTGTAGACAAAGGTTATCTAATTAAAGAAATATACGAAGTTCTAAATTTTAATTGTGATATTAAGAATAATAAATTTATAAAATATATCGATATGTGGCTAAAGATTAAACAACAAGCCTCTGGGTGGCCTAATTGGTGTAAAGATGATTTAGATAAGAAACTATATATAGATAATTATAAAAATAAAGAAAATATTGATTTGGATTATGAAAAAATAGAGAAAAATGAAACATGGAGATGGATAGCTAAAATAATGCTTAATTCGTTTTGGGGAAAATTTGCCCAAAGACCTAATCAGCCACAAACTGTTATTATTAATTCGTTATCTGATTATTATGATATAATTTTAGATAAATCAAAAGAAATTAATAGCGAGTATATGGTCACAGACGATACTATGATTTTGTCGTGGCATTACAATGATGAGGATAAAGCAATAGCTAAAAAATATAACCTGACCGTTGCTTGTTTTGTTACAGCCTATGCCAGAATAAAATTATACAAATTGATGGATAAAATTGAATCGATTAGACCGTTTAGTTTATTATACCATGATACTGATTCTGTATTATTTTATCGAAATATTAATGATCCAGTTATTGAATGCGGGGATTATTTAGGAGATTTAACTGATGAGATTGTAAAGAATTATAGCGAGGATTCTAAATGTATTGAATTTGCTTCTATCGGACCTAAAAATTATGGTTATAGTGTCCAAACTTCTGAAGGTATTAAATCAGAGTTGAAATGTAAAGGGATTCAAATGAATTTCTTAGCGAAGCAAAATATAGATTTTAAAATGATGCTGGACTTAGCTACTGGAACTGAACATAATGAAATATTTGTTAAACAGCGTCAGTTTGACTTAAATCGTCACAACCAAATTAAAACTAGATATTTTGACAAAAAATTTAGGGCAACGTCTGATAAGCGTTATAATGTCGAGGGACTAACTTTTCCTTATGGATATTAAGAAGCAATGTATCTTGTTCGAACCAATGAGCACACGTTGGTTGATGTATAAATTTAACTGCAGCGTCGTGCACTGCCCTGTCTGATCTACACAGATCAGACTTGTATTAAAATAAATTGCAGCAGTTGTGCCCTGCCCTGTCCGATGAGCACACATTGGACTTGTATTAAAATAAATGTAGGAGTTGTGCCCTGCCCTGTTCAATGCACACACATTGAACTTGTATTAAAATAATTGCAGCAGTTGTGCCCTGCCCTGTCTGATAAGCACACATCGGACTTGTAATGAATATTTATGTTGGAGTTGTGCCCATAAAAAATAATAACTTAAAAATATTAGCACAAAAAAAAATCAAAAATCATAAATACCACACAACTTAATGACGTAAGTATTGTCTGTGTGTATATCCTATGACGTAAGTATTGTATGTGTGTATATCTTATGACGTAAATATTTTAGTGATGGGTTATATGGTGCTATAACAGGATCCTATCTACTAACATGGAAGTCACACCTGGTTTATTACATTTATGTTAGTAAAATATAAAATTAAAAAATCCTGAAATATTGTATCTAATTTTATTCTTGTATTATTTTTACTATTATTAATACTACTATAGTAAATTAAATACAATAAAACATTATAATCAACTGCAGCTAATGTACTTTAATCGCGAGGCTCAACGGCCAGGTATGCGTTTTCGGCCAATTGTATGCGAATGTATTACGTGAGCGGAACCGAGAGTTGAGTGTCGGCGTACAGAATCAGGTAAGTAGTATTTTATTAATAATGTTGCTTGGTCACTGACCAATGGTCATTTGGTTGCACAGGCCCTATTTATCTACTATTATTCACACATTTAATTTATTTGTAATTAAAAAATACAATATAATTTGTAAAACTAAAATTTATTCTACTATTATTTCACACAGGTCGGAATCCGGAAGGTGACGGACCATTTTCGTTGGCAACACTCCGTCATATCGGGAAACCCTCGGCCGCTGTCAACCGTACGGCGACTGAAGAGTTGAGCAAACATTTTGAACGCGAATTGGGTATAAAAGCCGTCGACTCTAAGTTCGTGTTCGTAGAGATCACTGCCGACGAGTTGGGAACCAGGGGTCAGTTGAGATCAGATTTTGACTGATACTATATCCACACCACTCAACGCTTCTACTCCTAACACAATTGTTTTAATATTATTGTGATAATAATTTAGATATTAGAATATTAGATAAAGTTTTCAAATGTAACCTTATATTTTCATGAAACAATAAATTTTGTGATCTAACGATCTGACATGATCTACAATTTTGTTATATATTAAAATTTACATCTTATTTAAATTCTTACTAATATTACCTGATTATAAATTATGCTTGATTATATAACAAAATAATCAATCATAATCTTATAAGTTCTATTAGCCTCGTAATTAACTGATGATGCGGTGAATATAATAAATAAAAATATGATCGCATCCAAAACGCCGACATAAACGTACACAAAAAGCATGATATATTGGGTATAAACAAAGAACGCTAGAAATAATATCAAAATAGTGGCCGACCCTACTGTACACCAAAACGAGAACAATATCTTTGACCAATAGGTGGCGTTATATTCAGCGATTTCTATCAGAATTTTGTTCAATCGTAGCATAATTTGACGTAATCTTAATTTATTGAATGGCTTTCGCTTACTGGACACCAACTCCTGGTGTATAGCCTTCAATCTTAGCCGTGAATACAAGCAAATAATATAGAAATAACTTAATGGGTATAAAAAGTAACTCCAGAAATAACGGCACCAAATGAACAATAGTATACTATGGGGTAAACCAAAAAGCAACGTATTTGTCATCGATGTAAACATCATATACGGTACGAATACAATGAGAAAACCCAGAATGGGAATAAAATATTGGCTGTTGTGGTGGGCAAATGTGCATAATAATCTAGTACGTTTAATTAGCGTTAAAACATGGCCAGTGTTTGTTATGCCCACTTGTCTGGGAGTAACCAAACCGGACATCATATGAAATACGGCCAGAAATGTGGGTTTAATGCCATTCATGTAGTTATAGAAGAATATATGCTGAAAATTCATGGCCGCCAATGCGATCGCGATGAAATATAAGTTAGGTATGTACGATGAGCCGACTAAATTGCCCCAGTCACCAAGCATAATTGACATTTGATAGTCATCAACAAATAGGCACAATATTCTAAAAGTGTAGTATACATTAAATACAATGAATGCCACAATAGGTTTGCGAAACCACTTTCTGTGACCGCAATTATAATGTGTTTCAAACAAATCCAAACCAATTCTATACAAATGAATTGACGCCCATTTGTAGCCAACACTCGCCGGCAGTAATGAGTTTATATCTATATCTGTATCCATTTTAACTCGATTACGGGCAATACTGAATTTGTATTTAAGTTTCTAACTGTACTTAGGCTTGCCAGACGTCCAGTTTTGGACTGGATTGTCCAGATTTGGATAATCTTGTCCATTGTTCAGTGCAGAGTAAAACTGGACAGTCATGTGTATAGTTTTGAAATATTTTGCAGCACAATGAATATTTTGCTGCAATTTACATTATTCGTGTGTTTATATGATCTATATGTGATATGGTATTAATAGACTTATATAGTTATATAAAAATTCATAAAACTTTTACTTCAAAAAACAAAAATATGATTTAATTGTTAATAATTATTAATAAAAATTTAAGTTAATAAATTAACGCAAAAAATTCATTATTGTCTTAACAGAATAGTGTTAATTATGCTCCATAAATATTTTATTTAAAAACACAACAAAATGATTATGTTCAGTTTTTGTCCAGTTTTGGGGTTGATTTTTTAATGAGAATCCAGTTTTGGTTAACATTAATCTGGCAACACTAACTGTACTACCAGTAAGTAACTGTATTTAAGTAAATACTGAACAAGACTAATATGTTATTTTATTATGCTTTATAACATCGCTGGCGAACTGTTTAAACACTAGCGTCAAAATACTGATAGCCTTGACTGGCCCTAAACTTGGATAGAGTAATGATTATATATCAATAAAATTAGTATTAATATAAAATAAGTTGTGTTTAACGAACTATGCAAGTTTAGGTTCAGTCAAGGCTATCAGTATTTTGACGCTAGTGTTTAAACAGTTCGCCAGCGATACTTTATAAGAATGTATAATTTATCTGATAATTAATTAATATTGTTACATAAAGTTAAAAATAATTATTTTGATCTAATTATCTTAGAGAATACAAGACAAATAAATAAATAAATTATTATATTATTACATTTGCCACAAATTATATTTATAATTAATATATTATAATTAATATGTCAATTAGTATTTTTAATCAATATATTAATAATGCAATGTATGTGCTCTGATGCAAAAAATTCTGGTAAACACAATAATTATACCACGTCTAACGTGGTAATTAATATTTGGCCTACCAAGGTTATGATATAAATACATTGTATATCAACATGATTATTGTTCAATTATTTTCTAATTACCAAAGGACTTGTGATAATTATTATATATCATGTGATGAGTGCATATTATATACAACGTTAAAAACATTTTAATTGTTATAGTATAATTACATTATAATTGTAAGTGTAACTACAAAATAGTTACACAAACCCTCGATCATTATTGCCTAATCAGAACTAAAAATACTTACCTGTCATTATTAAAACTAAAAAACTTGCAAACTATAATACTGATCAAAATTTAAATAATACCTATACTATCTAGTTATTATACTGTATTAGGTGCAAAAAGAAAACTAATTAATATAATATTTTTATTTATTTGATTTAATTAAGCATAAACCCTAAAACATTATTGTGTGTGAAAAATATATTTTATTATAAATGAGTTGCAATATTTAATAATTAAAAATTACAGTTGTAAAAATATGTAAATACGTAAATAAGAAATAATAATTATTTTGTTTTTGTAATTGGATATTAATTTAAGCTAATTTTTAATTACCATTCATAGTAACATTAAGATGCTATATCATAAACACATTTTTATTTTATTTACAAAATATTAATTTCAAAAATGAAAAACAGTATAATAAACAAAATATTTTGCATTAATTTTTAATAGTTATCTGGCTAAAAAACAATTTCCATTCAAGGTAAGTTAAATAATTAAAAACAAATTACAAAACGCATACCTATACCATAGTCATAAACTTTTTTATAATCAGTTTTTAAATAACAAAAAATTCATTATTAACATAACAGTGCGAAACACTCATTTATTAACACATTTAAAACACTGTTTTTTGTGTAAGACTAGAAGTTATACAATTATATTGAATTAAATTACATTGTCTAATAAAATGTATAGAAATGCAAGAATAACTTAATTAATTTGCTTACAATACCCATATGGTCTAAAATTTAATTAAAGATTAAACTAAAACTATTTCATTAATTGTGAAACATTGAATATTTTAATAGTTATACATTTGTTGTTGTCAATGATAGTCATATAAAAAAGTAATAGGTTAAATCTATTATAATCTAGTTTTTGACTAAAATCAGTGATCATGATTAAATCGTTTGCTGATTTAATACCGGTAAAGTATAGAGATGTGGGTAATAAGGGTGGCGTAAAGCACCTGAACCTCAATGAACAACAATTACTAGATTTTGAGATCCGAGACCTACCGGTGCCGCCAATTGTAGCCAACCCTCACGTGCCGGATGTGGTGGACATCGTTGAGCGTGAGATCAACGAATGTCTGGACAAGCCATGGAGGGACCGAATGAACATGTCCATTTTTCAGGCTTATATGTTCACCACGAGCGATCGAGAACTATTTGCTGCCATAGCGTTTGTGCAAATATTTGGCTTTTTTGTTGATGATCAATTAGATAAAGTTCGAGATAAGTCAGTGATTAAGTAAGTTAAATTTATGAATTAATCATTTATGCATTACACAAACTCTGTGATTATTCAACTAGTCAATTATTTTAACTATTTATTATTATTGTAAATTTATTTATTAATATACAATAGTTTAATTGAATAGACTATGCAAAATTAAGTTTTTAATTTTTATTGCTTTTTACTCAATAATAGCGATTGGTATAAAAAGTTTAAGACGGGTCAAAGTGAAGATAATACACCGTTGGATCGTTTGCTGGTCAAAGCCCGGCGTTATGTCAATCAGTACCTGAGCCCGGATCAGGCGGACAGACATATTAAATACATACTGAGCTATATTGACACCTATCACACTCGTATTGATTATAAAAGTTCCGACACCGGCGACGTAATGACGTATGATCAGTTTCTCACATTTAGGTATGTAATTATTTAGTTACTTTAATCTGTATTTGTTTTAATTACTATTTGAAAATATTTTAAAATAATTATATAATATTAGTATCGCTAACAATTAATATGTCAAATGATTTTATTTTAGGTTATAATTAAATTTATAGTTTATTAAAAATTATAAACAAGTTAAATTATTTATTATAACCTTTATAATATAAAACTATTCCGAGCGTTGGGTTTCTCTATAAAGCTCTGTTGTTCTCTCTCTCTCTCTCTCTCTCTCTCTCTCTCTAATAAAAATATTTAACAGAAAACTGTAACAAAACAATTGCTATGAAATTGTTTGCATAAATAATT